CTGGCCACACTATTCCTGATCCAAGCCAGGATGCCGTTGGCCTTCTTGGCCACCTGGGCCACTGCAGGCTCATGTTCAGCTGGCTGTTGACCAACACCCAAACGGTCCTTTTCTGCTGGGCATCTTTCCAGCTACTCCTCCCCAAGCCTGTAGCGTTGCATGGGGTTGTTGTGACCCAAGTGCGGGACCCGGCACTTGGCCATGTTGAAACTCATACAGTTGGCCTCAGCCCATTGATCCAGTCTGTCCAGATCCCTCTGCAGATCCTTCCTACCCTCGAGCAGATCAACATTCCCACCCAAATTGGTGTCACCTGCAAACTTGCTGAGGGAGCATTCAATCCCCTCATCCAGATCATTCATAAAGATGTTAAAAAAGACCAGACCCAAAAGCAAGCCCTGGGGAACACCACTCGTGACTGGCCGCCAGCTGGATTTAGCTCCATTCACCACCACTCTCTGGGCTTGGCCATTCAGCCAGTTCTTTATCCAGTGAAGAGTACAGCCATCTAAACCATGGGCAGCTGGTTTCTCCAGGAGGATACTGTGGGGAACAGTGTCAAAGGCCTTACAAAAGTCCAGGTAGATGACATCCACAGCTTTTCCCTCATCCACTGGGCGGGTCACCTGGTTGTAGAAGGAGATCAGGTTGGTCGAGCAGGACCTGGATCCTCCTTCCGGCCCTTCTTGTAGATGGGTGTCACACTGCCGAGCCTCCAGTCACCAGGGACCTCCCCTGTTAGCCAGGACTGCGAATAGATGATGGAAAGTGGCTTGGCCAGCTCCTCTGCCAGTTCCCTCAGCACTCTTGGGTGGATCCCATCTGGCCCCATAGACCTGTAAGTGTCCAGGTGGCACAGCAGGTCGTTGACTGCTTCCTCCTGGATTATGGGAGATTTGTTCCTCTCTCCTTCCCTGTCTTCCAGCACGGGGGACTGACTACCCTGGGGATATCCAGTCTGACTATTAAAGACTGAGGTGAAGAAGGAATGAAGTCCCTCAGCGTTTTCCTCATCCTTGCTGGCAATACTCCCCCTCGCATCCAATTAGGGATGGAGACTCTCCTTGGCTCTCTTTTTGTTGTTGATGTATTTGTAAAAACATTTTTTGTTATCCCTTACAACTGTGGCCAGATTGAGTTCTAGCTCGGCTTTTGCTTTTCTAATTTTCTCTCTGCTCTCTAAAAACAAGAGTCGTCTGTGGACACATAGGAAAAACCCTGTCCTTTGTATCTTACTCTGAAAAAAAAAAAAACCAAACCCCAAACACTCCAGAGTGAATAATTTTCAAATCCATTGAAAAGATTCACTGAGGTACAAACTGAATCTCATGAACCTGGGGAAAGAAATGAGGGAGAGATTTTCTTTGTTAAGAAAGCTGATGGTGGCATTCATATTTTTTATTAAAATTAATGGCATTTAAGAGAGGCTGTGTCTTTGCAAAGGATTTTTACAGCTGTGTCTGTCAGTTTCCCAAATCTTATAGAACATTTTTATACAGCTGTTTTGCATTTGGCTTTTAGTTTTAATGTTTTCTGTTCATTAAATCACAGAACTAATAAAAATGAAACGATCAAGATTTCTCCAGCAGTACAGGAACAGTCCTAATGCACAGTGTTATAATTTAATAAGCATCTCAATTAACTATTAAAATCCACATGATGATCAGAACTGTAATTCCAAAGATGAGGTCTTCTGAAAGCTTAATTTACTGTGGTGGGAAGTGGCAGCTGCTGCAACTCAGCAAAATTAGCTTTTTAAACTTAGATGCCAGGGACAACAGATGTAGATGACACAATAACAAGAACAACAACAAAATCCACCCCCACCATGCAGCTTTGTTTCTCATCACCGGAAGATTCAAGAAGGGCTTCTACACATACATCAGCAGGGAAAGGGAGGCAAAGTGTGGACCCAATGGAGAACCAAACAGGGGGACCTAGCGACAAAGGACATGGAAAAAGTTGAGGGACTTAATGTCTTCTCTGGGGCTTTGCTAGCATGGTCTGTTCTTGGCTCCCCTGTGCCAAGCAGTGGGGTCTGGGGACACAGAGCATTGCCCATGCTGCAGGAGACTGAGCTGGAGACCTCTGAAGACAATGGGGCACTTTCAAGTCCATGGGAGTGCATGGGATTTATCTGTAGGGGTCAACATCACTGCAAAGCTGCTCTTCTCCTGTGCCAGGAGGTTCCCAATGACTGAAAAGGGCAAATGTCGTAGCGGTCTTCACGAAGGGCAAGAAAAAGGATCTGGGGACCTCAGCACCCAAAAGGATTATGGAATAAGCCCTCCTGGATGTGCCATGTCCTCATGCACCAAGGACAAGGTGACTGGGAACAGCCAGCACAGATTTACCAAGGGCAAATTGGGTCTGGCCAACCTCCTTGCCTGCTGCGATGGAGTAGGCTAGGGTAGGGCAACGGACAACGTGCGTCTTGACCTCAGGAAGACTTTTGCCTTGTTGGGACAGGCAGACTGTAGCGCAGGTGGAAAACAGGTGGCACTGCTGGGGTCAGAGGGCTGGGATCAGCAGTACAAAGTGCACTTGGGGTCCCTTAGCGTTCGGCAGCAGAACCCACACTGGTTTATCTCTGTGTTACTGACCCCGACAAAGATGAATCCTCGGGAAAGCAGCCGATGACACCACGCTGGGGAAGCAGTCCTGACTGCTGGAGGGCAGGGCAGCCGCTGGGAGGGACCTCGGCAGGCAGGGTGGCAGGAACCCTGGAAGCTCAGCAAAGGCTGAATGCCGTACCCGGCACGGAGGAACCCTGCGCTGCGGGACAAGCTGGGTCCCACCTGCCTGCAGAGTGGCTTTGCAGGAACGGACTCGAAGGATGAGTTGAATACGAACGAGCAGGGTGCGCTTGCAGTGAAAAGGGCTGACTGCATGCTGGGTGCCATGGCAAGAGTACGGCCAGAGGGTGCTGGGAAGTCGTTCTTCCCCTCCGTGAGGCACTTCGTGAGATTACATCTGGACACTGTGCATAGTTTTGGGCTCCCCAGCACAGACATTGACATCCCGGAGCGAGTTCCATGGAAAGCCTCCAAAATGAGGCGGCTGAAGCACATGATTCACAAGGAAAGGCTGATAAAATAGCCCAGCTTGAAGAAGAGAAAGCTCTAAGGAGATCCTACAGCTGTCTGCAAGTACCTAACGGGGGGAGGTAGAGAAGACAGCCAAACTCTTCTTGAAAGTTTACAGCAACATTCAGAGACAATAGGCACAAACCGCCGCAAGAGTACTACGTCCAGCTCTGGGGCCCCCAACATGGGGACATGGATGTGTTGGAGTGGGTCCAGAGGAGGGCCACAAAGATGATCCGAGGGCTGGAACACCTCTCCTACAAGGACAGGCTGAGAGAGTTGGGGCTGTTCAGTCTCGAGAAGAGAAGGCTCCGGGGAGACCTTATAGCAGCTTGCCAGTGCCTGAAGGGGCCTACAGGCAGGATGGAGAGGGACTTTTCACAAGGGTGAGTAATGATAAGGCAAGGGGGAACGGCTCTAAACTAAAAGAGGGCGGATTTAGAATAGATATTAGGAGGAAATTCTTCACCATGAGGGTGGTGAAACACTGGAACATGTTGCCCAGAGAAGCTGTGGATACCCCCTTCCTGGAAGTGTTCCAAGGCCAGGTTGGATGGAGCTCTGAGCAACATGGTCTAGTGGAAGATGTCCCTGCTCATGGCAGGAACTAGATGATCTTTAAGGTCCCTTCCAACCCAAACCATTCTGTGATTCTATGATAAAGAGAAAATTCTGCAGAATGGGGATGGCCAAACACTGAAATGGGGGGTACAGTGAGATTGTGAAACTACTGTCCTTGGAGATGTTCAAAACCCGACTGCATATAGGCCTGAGCAACCTCATATGACCTCAAAGTTGTCCCTGCTTTGGACCAGAGGACTGCAAGGCATCTGTTCAAAACTACATTATTCCGAGTTCAGCTGTGGTGGCAGGAGCACCCCCCAACCGACCTACTACAATAAGGAATGTGCATCCGAACACAAACCTGTTTTTACCTTAGAAAGATCAGGACCAGTTGTCTGTTGTTACTATTTTCCCCCTCTCTGAAGGCTGGAGATGTGGGGCAACAGCTTTTTCATGCCTTAAAAAAATTACAACAGAAAATAGGTCAACATTGCAAGCCAAAGCACAAACCAGCACTGGTTGGAATATCGGCCCTAGCTTAGATATGTGTTGGGTGACAGAAGGGAAGATGTGGTGTCGTGATCTGGTGATGGGACAAGCACTGAGGCACATACCTGGAATCAGAGTCTGGAGCAGCGGGACCTGTGATGGAGTCTGAAGTGCTGCTGCTGGAAACAGAGCAAGCCAGATTAAAGCTGGTTTAGACACAGGTGGAGGAACTCAGAATCACAGAATCACAGAATGGTGGGGGTTGGAAGGGACCTCTGTGGGTCATCTAGTCTAAGCCCCCTGCTGAAGCAGGGTCCCCTACAGCAAGTTGCTCAGGACCTTATCCAGGTGGGTTTTGAATACCTCCAGAGAAGGAGAAACCAAAAA